GGAATGGTGGCAGAAACTGACTGGAACTTTTGACACTGAAGTGAACAACCCTGTATCCCCCGAATGCGCACGTTGGATATACCGTGAAAGTCTCAGTGGGGTCGGGACAAGCAACATGAATGCTCTTGTGGAACCAAACAACGTCTAGAATGGCCTGTGCTAAGAAAGTCTTATTCACTGTATTCACGTGGCGGAGGTGTTTGCCGAAACAAAATGAGCGGATGAAAAACCAACATCTGGGGATAAAAAAGGAGTCGGTGAAACACCAGCAGTTCACGCAAGTGAGATGGTGGAAAATCCTAATTCCAAACCAACCGAGAATAACATTACAACAACCATACCCACATTCGGAGTTCTAGTAGCGACCACCCGCTTGATTAGACACATATCCCGCGTTTCTGGTGCTACCCGTCTATCCAACATCTGGATTGGTTCTCTCGTCAATCATTCGTTTCTCCCCATTCTACCAGTCTCATTGTTTGCATATAGGCCCGCTTACCGCTCCATCTTACATTTCCCAGTCAAGCTTTTGGCCTTTATTCTGTATTTTTCACTCCGTAGATTATCGATAAATTAGCTGACAAAGGTAGAGTCACCCGCACAGCTTGTCACGCACGTCCCTCCTATATGTCTCGGTATTGGTTATATTTTCATTAGGATTGGTAGTTACAAGCCTTGCTTCATTGAATGGATCACACAGTTTCCTTTTGCAAATTCGAGCCCTCGTTCATGGACATTGCCGCTCTACCAGATACGCGAGTCTTTTTCGAAAGCTTTCAATCCCTTGTTAACAAGTATAGTGCTTCTTTGTTCGATTAATTGGTGCTTCACTGTTGAAGTGTGTTTCGTACACATCGTCATTTGGTTCATTTTGCACCTAATATACAACCACATTTTGTATCGAATCTTATCGATTGTTTGAAAGGAAGAGGGTTCGTTTTTTACGTTGCGCGCATCTCTGTCCGTCGGCATAATTGGGAGTTTTGGGACGGAACGAATTATCGGAGTTCATTACAGATGATGCGCAGCATCGGTTGAAACGGTCTGTTTCCGCGGTCGATAGTTTACCTTCATTTGAAAGCAGTGTATGCGTCCGCCGAATGAATAACTTCAAGGTGTATTTTCCCTCTACAGAGATAGATTTGGAGCGGATATAGATGACCAACGGTGTTCTGCCAGCTTCATTCACTTATGGCGTGTGTGAGTTTGCAACCATCCTCCAAATTGTCATGTTCCTCAGAATGATGAATGGAGTTGACTTACTCATACACAGTTTTCACAATACGTNAGTATATGAATAATTGCATAAAATTTCCCAGAAGCATAAGACCGGTTTTGCGGTCCTTGTCGCTCGTCAGGCATTTTTATCCGGTAATCTTTTGTTCGGTCATTCTTATACTTGAACTGGTGATGTGAATTAGGCGACGCAAATCTCATTTGCAGCCCGGGGAGTGGATTTGAGATGAACACGCCTTGAAGAATCATGACGATGATTCTGTATCTGGTATTGTTTGTAATATGTGTTTAACCTCATTCAACTAGACACTAGGGTCGATTTTCAGTGAATTTAGAATCAGTAGTATATGAATGATTGGACAAAATTTCCCCCGAAGCATGTTCATCTCGAATCGACTCCCCGAGCTGCAAATGAGATTCGCGTCGCCTCATTCACATTCCCAGTTCAAGTTTACGAATGACCAGACGAAAGATTATCAGATACACATGCCTGACCAGCGGCCAGGACCGCAAAACTGGTCGTGTGCTTCTGGGAAACTTCGTCCATATATTACTGATTATGAAAACAGTGAAAATCAACCTTAGAGTCGAGTTGATTGAAGTTAGACGCATCCAACCCAGAAAACTTGATACAGAATCACTGCAACGATTCTTTGAGGTTTGCTCATCTCGAATCGACTCCCCGAGGTACAAAGGAGATTTGCGTAGCCTTACTTGCACAATACCCATACGCACTTGCTGCAAAATGACGACGTTTAAAAGTGATCTGTAGAGTTGCGAGGAAAGAACACAATCGCTCACCATGACGGACACGTGTCCAGTAAGACACACGGAATCGAGAATCGTTTTCAACGAGGCACACAAGCTGGACAACCGTGCCAGCTGATCTAGCGTGGTTTCAGCGGAGAAGTTCTCCAGTCTGGTCTCCATATCTATGGCCCCGTTCAGAGTATCTCGATCCGAAGAGGACAAAATCGAGGCTTGTGAGGAACGTCCCGGATTTAACGGAGCACCAGGCACGTCTGAACTGGAAACGGCACAACCAGATCGCTGAGAACGCCGAGATGAGGAAGAACGAAACAATCGTTGAGAGTCTTTCTCCACTCGTCCAGATTCCGGTTCCGGTTGGATGGGATTAGGAGACAGACCAACATCTTCACCGTAGCCCAAACCCGGAGAAGTTCTATCCACTGCGGAGATGATGATATTTCGCTGATGACTGAGGTAGTGGAATACCAACTCAGCTCGGCGGATTTGTGTGCCGATCTGAATGGTGAGCATTGAACACAAGAATATCACACGATGAAAACGGGATTTATTTGATTCGTTAACTGAAATGTGACCTACATTTACTTTCACAGATTTCTAATGAAATATAATGGTGCAGAAAATGCGGAATCGAAATGAGCCCTATGATATAAACACACACACAAGCTTGCCAACATATATAGGTGGTCTGATAGCGTCAGTAGACCATAACTCTTTGATTGTTTAACACTATGAGATCGAAGAAATTGATTTAACTTCAAACCGGAAACCATTTTAATTAAACTTAAAGATTCCGAGTTGCGAAACCAATCGCCAAGCACCCCCAAATCTCGACTAATTGGTAAATTCAGCCTTACTTATGTGACGAGCAGTGCGCCCTCCGGATAAGCGCTTAACATCAAAATTAGAACTTTGAAATTTGAAGGCTGATGACAAATAGTTAGGCACAACAGACTTCCAAAGAGCGCTGCGTCCTGCATTTGGTTTCGTCAGTATTGAGTACTCAGCGAGCAAACCTTCGGATTAAAAACCCGAAACCCGTGCGCCTGAGCCACACGGGCTGATGCTTAACACATTGAGCGAACGATGCAACCAATTTAATGCATTGTGTTTGAACTGGTCCATTTGATTGATTCCAGACACCAAGTATGATTGATGGTCTTAGGCTAATTCAAACCCAATATTCTAAATTGTGGGTAAGCATGTCTCTGGATTTATTTGTTTTGTTAATAATGAGTCATAATGAGAACAAAAATTGGCAAACAAGCTCGTTTTCAGTGTCTTAGTAACGAGTCAGTCACTAAGTTCTTATTATTGTAACACCAGAATAAGGCCTTACTTCCGTCTACACAAAGATGCCATCCTTGATCTGGTGTGTATATCCGAATGATTGTAATTCTCAGTTGACTCAATACCGTTCAAATTATATAACCCTCGCGTAAGTAGTGACAAAAATGACATCAAATAAGTTAACGGTGTTCAGGAAAAGGCGGTCACACTCATAAAGCGACATGGAGTCAAAATTATTCCGGAATTGGTTACTGTTATTTACTGAAACACCAACACCGACGAAATCATGTGTGGTGACTGAACGAAGCACTAATTCGGGCAAACAAGAGGAAGATTACCAACAAGGGTTGAAAAATACAGACCAACTAAAATCAATTGTCTGTAACTGTTGACTTCACAGGCTACAACGATCCACGTAGAGTGACGCGCAAAAAACCCGGAAGACGGTGTCTTTCAACAAATAGGTTTCTTCTACAAATGCGGCACTGAAATACAGTTTACGATAGTGAAAATATGCAAACCTCAAACTGTGGCACCAGCCGGTTAAAAACACCGGAATCTGTGAAGCCAGTAATTCGACAAGCAAGAACTGCGAGCAAGCAGGCGCGCAGTGCGATGACGATAGAACCAATACACCGAACAATGTCGAACAGGATCACATGAATCCTTGGTGGTCAAAAGTGAGAAGCGACCTAGAGGGAACCAATCACAACACAATGGGTGTAAATGTGTCATCAGGGCCCGTCGTGACACGACAGTGCGATGAATCGGTGTAGGTGTGTGCGTGCGTGTACAAAAGTGTCAGAGTCAGTCGATCATGGGTACGGGTGAGACCGACAGAGGTCAACGCAATGGGGCAAACATACTAATAATGCGTGCGTATGTGTAAACGGCGTGGAGAACAGTCATAGACACGGATCAATGAGGGGATGAAATAAACATTACACGGTCAAAGGGAAGACAATGGACAACAGGATGGTGGTGCTGGGTGTGTGTGTGAAGTGTGTCAATGGGCAGAATTTATTCTACAGTAATCATTATGCGACTACTCTTGTATGAGGATGAGTCGAACTAGGTGAACAAGGAGCAAGACTCACGTTTGATTAGAATACTCAGCATGACGCAAGAGGCAATGATTTAGTCAATGAAAGTCCTCGGTTAAGCCCAGAAGACAACACATTAGATGCATGGCAATTTTTCAGAAGGAACATGCTAAGGTGATTAAAGAACTAGCTGACGCAGCTGGTGGTGGTGTCCTGACTCGGGTATCAGGCCTTTGCATATATAGATTGTTTAGTCGTGAGATGAAAGCACACTTACAGTGTGTTGTCGGGTGGACGATAAACCAAGAGATCACCGGTAATGCACAGGAAATAGGGCCAATCAGTCGAATATAAATAATGAATGAGTAAAACGGATGTATGGTGCGAGCAAAAATTTAACACACTGGGGGGCGGGGCGGGGGAAGAGAACATCAAATAAGTTTCCTACGGACATGGTAACGCCAGAATTTGAAGCAGGTTGTCCTGCTTACACAACTTCGGGTTCGTGGTCCTAATTATTCTGAACTCTGCAGGTTGCACAACTTGGTGACCCGAAATAAACCACACCGCTGTAGCATTTTGGCACATAATGGCTTGACGAGAGAGAGACCCTTACCAATCGGGCCAGTTCGGCGTAATGTGACAACACAGATGGTGGCGCGGATGCATCCATGGCGAATACAACCCCAAAACTGATCAGTGAATGTCCAGCACGACATGGGGATGATACGTGAGGTTCAATACCAGAATCCGGTTCAATCACCTCGTTTGGACCGGCAGTTACGTTGAACAAGGCACCAATAAAAATGTAATTGTCTAGCTGTAAAGGGTTCAAACGAAAATAAAACGGAAAAGAGAGTAGTTGGCTGCTGTAAAGAGAGGGACAAAGATAAAACTCTGGCATTACAAATTTGTTTTTTAATATTAAACAGAGGACGTTGAAATTACATTCTTGACTTGTATGATTACTGATCATAGAATAAGAATTTTGCTGAAAATTATTGATGCGGAGATACTAACGGTAATGAAGAGCTATGAAATATTAAAATTATTGGATGTTCGAATACCAGTTTCTCATTTATTCATTTGAAAGCGTGAGGAAAAATTTCAACTTTCAAAAGCTTAGATTGCAGAAAACGACATATATATACATGTGTGCATTGTACAGTTCATTCGACAGTTAAATAACTTTGTCTAGGCTGAATTAAACTCCGGCAGCATACCTTGATGTAGATCTTCCGTTGCGCTTCTTGTGTCTGTTGATGCAACAAACCCAAGAGGATATTAGTTGGTAATCCCCCAATAATAGACAGTCCGTTTGGCTCCACCACAGGTTCACGAAATCGTACATGTTCCGCACCTAATCCGGACTGTACAGTCCCATCGGGACCAGATCCCACCGAAGGACCAATAGTAGCGGTTGTTCCAGCAGCTGCTACTGAAAGGGAACCACTAACCCCGGTCACACCAGATGCACTGGCACCGCCTAAACGGTCTGTGTTAGGTCCCGGGCCGGTAGGACTGGCTGTAACGTCACTCAGATGATCAAGTCTATCTGAAATCAGCTATACAGAGGACGAGGCGCATAGGGTAAATGGGTGAAAGCAAACTGTCTCACACGATTTTATTACTCGTGAGTAGTTAAAACAGCAATTTAAAAAGAACATTATTAACTCACATGAAGTGCAAAGGGATTGCTAGAAGCCCCAACAGGTTCCGTCGGTTTGCCTGAAGCGTCTGTCGCAGATGTATCCCTATTGAAAACAATAGAAATCAGAATAGTGTCCAAACGAGTGGGTTCACTAGGGGGACACATACTTA